TACATGGATCAGTCGTCCTGGTCCCTTTGCGGAGAAACAGCCCCAAAGCATGATGTTGCCACCCCCATGCTTCACAGTAGGTATGGTGTTCTTTGGATGCAACTCAGCATTCTCTCTCCTCCAAACAGGACGAGTTGTGTTTCTACCAAACAGTTCTATTTTGGTTTCATCTGACCATATGACATTCTCCCAATCCTCTTCTGGATCATCCAAATACTCTCTGGCAAATGTCAGATGGGCCCGGACATGTACTGGCTTAAGCAGGGGGACACGTCTGGCACTGCAGGATCTGAGTCCCTGGCGGCGTAGTGTGTTACTGATGGTAGCCTTTGTTACGTTGGTCCCAGCTCTCTGCAGGTCATTCACTAGGTCCCCCCGTGTGGTCCTGGGATTTTTGCTCACCGTTCTTGTGATCGTTTTGACCCCACGGGGTGAGATCTTGCGTGGAGCCCCAGATCGAGGGAGATTATCAGTGGTCTTGTATGTCTTCCATTTTCTAATTATTGCTCCCGCAGTTGATTTGTTCACACCAAGCTGCTTGCCTATTGCAGATTCAGTCTTCCCAGCCTGGTGCAGGTCTACAATTTTGTTTCTGGTGTCCTTCGACAGCTCTTTGGTCTTCACCATAGTGGAGCTTGGAGTGTGACTGTTTGAGGTTGTGGACAGGTGTCTTTTATACTGATAACAAGTTCAAACAGGTGCCATTGATACAGGTAATGAGTGCAGGACAGAGGAGCCTCTTAAAGAAGAATGTACAGGTCTGTGAGAGCCAGAAATCTTGCTTGTTTGTAGGTGACCAAATACTTATTTTCCACCATAATTTGCAAATAAATTCTTTCCAAATCAGCCAATATGATTGTCTGGATTTTGTTTCTCATTTTGTCTCTCATAGTTGAGGTCTACCTATGATGCCAATTACAGGCCTCTCTCATCTTTATAAGTGGGAGAACTTGCACAATTGGTGGCTGACTAAATACTTTTTTGCCCCACTGTATTCATGCAGACTTGAAAAGTTGCTGAAAGGTCCACTTTAAATATAATTATTTTTTCACTCTTCCAGGAAACTTGCGGCTAGAAGGGGATGTTGAATGGGAAAAGGACAATTTGAAGGAGACTATAAGATGTATTCCAGAAGTCAACAAACAAACAAATGAAATTATTCTTCCTGTCATTGTACACAGGTTTGTCATGTGCCATGACATATGTATTCGATATCATGGTATCTAATATATTATTATTATACAGTGTTTATATAGCGCCAAAGGGTTTGCTCAGCGCTGTACATTAGAATGGGGGACAAGACATGAGACAATACAGTAGCAAAACAATATACAATACATGAGGGGTTAGAGGGCCCTGCCCTTTTGAGCTTACAGTCTAGGAGGGAGGGGATGGTGGTACAGGAGATGGCTGTGGGGGATGGAATGGAGTGAGGAGTGGAGGGGATCGGCTGTTAGGTGAGGGTGGGGTAGGCTTCCCTGAAGAGATGGGTTTTCAGGGTGCGCCTAAAGGTGAGGAGGGTAGGGGACAATCTGATGGATTGGGGAAGTGAGTTCCAGAGGATGGGGAAGCTCTGGAGAAGTCCTGCAGTTGGGCGTGAGAGGTGGAGACCAGGGATATAGAGAGTAGGAGGTCTTGCGAGGAGCGAAGATTACGGGTAGGGTGGTATTTGGGTTTCAGGTTGGTGAGGTAGTTTGGGGCAGCATTATGAATGGCTTTGTATGTCAATGTTAGTAGTTTGAATATGATGCGTTGGGCAATCGGGAGCCAGTGGAGGGAATGACAGAGGGGGGTGGCAGAAGTGGATCGGTTGGTAAGGTAGATGAGTCTGGCCGCTGAGTTCAGGATAGACTGGAGTGGGGATAGCCTGTATTGGGGTAGGCCGGTGAGAAGGGAGTTGCAGTAGTCCAGGCGTGAGATAATAAGGGAGTGAACAGGTTGTTTAGTAGTGTCTGGGGTTAGGAACGAACGTATTTTGGAGATGTTGCGGAGGTGGAACCTGCATACGGTAGTCAGCGATTGGGCATGAGATTGGAAGGACAGGTTAGAGTCTAGGATGGCACCTAGGACCTTGGCTTACATGGTGGGACTGATAGTAGCGTTGTTGGTCGTAATGGAGAGGGTGGGGGGGGGGGGTGCGGGCAGGGGGGGCATATATATTTCACATACTGTTTAAAGAACTAAACCTAACAAATGGGATGCTTTATGTAGAAGAACTACCAGTGGCAGAACAATGTTCTTTGACATCCAAGGCAAAAAGGCCAAAGTGCGCCCCCAAAAGCTGTGAACTACCCCATCAGTATAGGCTGCAGGTCCTGCCCTCTTTGTTTCCCCCCCTCAACTCCTCCTGCTGAGGCACCCAAGGCAGCCTCCTATTTTGCTTACTCCTTGACCCGGCTCTGCCAGGACCTGTACTGCCCATTGAAGTTTAGCCTTTCACAGCTGAATGATGGAAACAGGGCATTTTTTTTTGGGGGGGGGGCAAAAATCCAGGTACAGTCTTGGTCTATGATCCTAGGGGCTCCACTGAAACACAGAGATGCATTTGAAACCATCACATATACTTGTAGGCACCACCGGGTGCCTAACGTCAGTCCTGTTGCTACCTTTGAAACAATTTAGTATCCATCTCCCATATTTGGAGCCAACATTCATTTTCTAAGTGGGAGATCAGGAGCCTAGTGATCATCAGATTCTAGGATGATAAGTATAATAAAGAGTACTCTTCCCTAGCAGAGAGTTCAAACACTGGTGCACAAAAAGCATTATGGAGAGTTGTGAAGAGGTGTGTTTGAGAGCATTTTGGGCAACATTTTTGAGCTGTAGATAGAGAAACAATTCTGAAGGGATAACTTTGAGGGGAACTTGGGGGGAAAGGGAAGGATCTGAACTAGGTCTGATCCAGCCTAAACAACACGAACATCTAATGTTGAAATGAACAAAAAGTCAACTTTGTGAATTGCTAAATATTGATGGCTGATTGTCATCCGTTCTCTACTGATTGTCCTGAAATACACAGGATACAGTGCCTTAAAAAGTATTCTGACCCCTTGAAATTTTCCACATTTTTTCATGTTACAACCGAAAAGGTAAATGTATTTTTATTGGGATTGGATCTGATAGACCAACACAAAATGGCACATAATTGTGAAGTGGAAGGAAAATGATAAATGGTATTCAACATTTTTTAGAAATAAATATCTGAAAAGTGTGACGTGTATTTGTATTCAGCCCCCCGGAGTCAATACTTTGGACCCCCTTTCACTGCAATTCCAGCTGCAAGTTTTTTTGGGGATGTCTCTACCAGCTTTGCACATCTAGAAAGAGAAATTCTTGCCCATTCATCTTTGCAAAATATCTCAAGCTCTGTCAGATTGGATGGAGAGCATCTGTGAACAGCGATTTTCAAATCTTGCCACAGATTCTCCATTGGATTTCTGTCTGGGCTGTGATTTTGCCATTCTAACACAGGAATATGCTTTGATCTAAACCATTCCATTGTAGCTCTGGCTGGATGTTTCGGGTCGTTGTCCTGCTGGAAGGGGAACCTCCGCCCCAGTCTCAAGTCTTATGCAGACTCTAACAGGTTTTCTTCTAAGATTTCCCTGTATTTGGCTCCATCCATCTTCCCATCAACTCTGACCAGCTTCCCTGTCCCTGTTGAAGAAAAACATCCCCTCAACATGATGCTGCCACCACCATTTTTCACAGTGGGGATGGTGCATTCATGGAATGTGCAGTGTTAGTTTTCCACCACACTCAGCGTTTTGCTTTTAGGCCAAAATTTTAAATCTTGCTCTGATCAGACCAGAGCACCTTCTTCCACATGTTTGCTATATCTCCCACATGGCTTCTCGCAAACTGCAAATGGGACTTCTTATGGCTTTCTTTCAACAATGGCTTTCTTTTTGCCACTCTTCCATAAAGGCCAGATTTGTGGAGTGCATGGCCTGTCAGTTTAGGTGGACGGCCAAGTCTTGGTAGGTTTGCAGTTGTGCCATACTCTTTCCATTATCAGATGATGGATTGAACTGTGCTCTGTGACATGTTCAAAGCTTGGGATATTTTTTTTATAACCTAACCCTGCTTTAAACTTCTGTACAACTTTATCCCTGACCTGTCTGATGTGTTCCTTGGTTTTCATGATGCTGTTTGTTCACTAATGTTCTCTAACAAACCTCTGAGGGCTTCACAGAACAGTTATATTTATACTGAGAATAAAATACACACAGGTGGACACAGGTGTTCCACTAGATTTTTGTTAGGGGTATCCGAGTAAAGGGGGCTGAATACAAATCGACGCCACACTTTTCAGATAAATATTTGTAGAAAATTTTGAAAACCATTTATCATTTTCCTTCCACTTCACCTTTATGTGCCACTTTGTGTTGGTTTATCACATAAAATCCCAAGAAAATACATTTACGTTTTTTTTTGTAACATGACAAAATTTGGAAATTTCAAGGGGTATGAATACTTTTTCAAGGAGTGTATTGTTAATTCAGTGGGGTTTCTTTACCATCTGTAGCACTACCCCCACAGGGGCCAATCATTTTTACTGGTTCTCTCCCACACAGTACAGAGGCCACCAGCCACCCAAGCAAAAGTCCATTCACTGTGGCTCCAATAAACAGTCTAGGGGTTGTCTTGAAATTTATTGCTGATAACAGGAGAGGGATTAGGACATGGGATACTCCAAAATGGTTAGTACTAAGCAATTAGATGACAGTCTTCTCCTTAAAGTGTTACTAAATCCTGCTGAATCCTGCATTCACTTTATCCGGTCTCCCAGGACCCTGCATTCACTATATCTGGTCTCTCCGGACCCTGCATTCACTATATCTGGTCTCCCCGGACCCTGCATTTACTATATCTGGTATCCTTGGATCCTGCATTCACTATATCCGGTCTCCCCGGACCCTGCATTCACTATATCTGGTCTCTCCGGACCCTGCATTCACTATATCTGGTCTCCCGGACCCTGCATTCACTATATCTGGTCTCCCCGGACCCTGCATTCACTATATCCACTCTCCTTGGACCCTGCATTCACTATACCTGGTCTCCCCGGACCCTGCATTCACTATATCTGGTCTCCCCGGACCCTACATTTACTATATCTGGTATCCTTGGACCCTGCATTCACTATATCTGGTCTCCCCAGACCCTGCATTCACTATATCCGCTCTCCCCGGACCCTGCATTCACTATACCTGGTCTCCCTGGACCCTGCATTCACTATATCTGGTCTCCACGGACCCTGCATTCACTATATCTGCTCTCCCCAGACCCTGCATCCACTATATCCGCTCTCCCTGGACCCTACATTCACTATATCCGCTCTCCCCGGACCCTGCTTTCACTATATCTGGTCTACCACAGTACACACAACATGGAAGTGCAATTATTTTAGTAAATATAAACTGCTAAATACCTTTTCTCATCAGCAGTATATAGCAGTCTTGTGACTTCTATCAGTGTCCAGCCTAGCACTGGTTAAAGCTTGCAGTAGGAGTTTTCTTTCTGCTCTAGGAGGATGCAAAACCCCTGACCCTCTGTTTAGACAGTGCTGATTGGCCCTGTGCTGACCACATGCACTCTCCCAAGAAAAAAAACCCTCTCTAGCAATACACACCAAACTGAGCATGTGCAGAATGGCTACGGGTTCAGTCTGTCTTATCAGATGATAAGATGCTGAAATTTGAACAAGAGGAGGGGCAGAGAAGACAGGATCAAACAGCCTTTGCCACCATGCAGAGGATTAACCCCTTAGGTTCCACAGTGAGTATAACAAGCATGCTTTACTGCATATACAGACTTATTGTACTGTTGTGGGTTTAGTAACACTTTAAGCAACTGTGAATATTGGACAGTCTAAGGCCTCACAGGTGGGGACCATGAGACAAGTCTCTTTGGCATCTGGTTGCCCTGCACAACTGCACAGCTATTGGTACCCAGTGCAACCTCAGGAATACAAAAGGACGACCCCCTCTGGTTACTATGCAGCAGGGCAGTTTCTTGGCACAGGACCCATGTGCATATTTACATTGATTCAAGCTGGACAAATGTAACTATGCAATAACATTCATACCTGGAATTCAGCTTTAAATCATATTTAATATTATCCCTTTAAACATCGACCAGTAACCATTACATAACACAATGGAGTTTACTTACTGAAGCTGGAGAGTGCCAAATCCTGCTCACTTCTGCATTGAAACCAATCAGCTTCCAAGTTTTATTGCGAAATCTTCATTGAACAAGCTGAAGTTAGAAGCTGACTGGTTTCTATGCAGACGTGAGCCTGACTTTGCACTCTCCAGCTTAAAGCGGAGCTCCAGTCACCTTGGCAGTGTTCTACAAAAGGCACCCCTGTGATTCTCTTTAGTTGCATGATATAAAAAGGATACTGTTATAAGTGTACTTCTTCTTCTTCCTTGTAAATATGACATTCATCACAGGATCCCAGCAGACAGGCAGTGGCCATTACTAGTGTGGGCCAGGGGTGTCCCTAGGGTTGGTGTCACCCGGTGCCGGAACACTTGGTGACACCCCCTCCGACGATCCCTGCTTGATAGATCGGATCTACGGATTGAGCATAATGGATCGGAGTCCGATCCATTATGCTCCCCAATCCGCAGATCCAATCCATCCTGTGGAGATCGTCAGCTTGCAACCTATACGGGGTTAACTGATCTCTCCAGGAGCTCCACAAAAAGGTAAGTTTTAAAGCAAGCCGAAGATCCCCACAAGATGGATCCGATCTGCGGTTTGGGGAGCATAATGGATTGGACTCCGATCCATTACGCTCGTCGACTTGCTTTAAAACTTACCTTTTTGTGGAGTGGGTCCGGTGTCACCCTGTGCGGCGCGCACCCCCCGCATCTGCCTAGGGAGACCCCTGGTGTGGGCATCTGAAGCCTGCTCCTACTTGCTTCTGGGATTCCGTGAAGCTGGCTACCCAGCATGCACCTCCCGATTTTGCGCCTACGCATTAAAGACACAGCGCGGCACACTGCCTCTTACAGGTTGCCATAACAGTGGCGGCGTCTGCAGAAGTTCTTGCCTCATTGTTAAGGCAACCTGTCAATCAACACAGAACCCGGAAGGAAGGCAAGTGCGGTCTGAAGGTTCCTGAGATAGATGATGGCGATATCCCAGGAGCCCTAGGGAATCGACTAATGACGTAATCGCGGGGACCGAAAGCATGGTGTTGCAAGGAACATGAAAAAATGGGTGAAAGTCCACTTTAAGTAAATAGCCCCCAATGCATATGAACCCTTTCATTGCCCATAGTCAGAGTTTCAGAAATCTCTTAATCTAATATATAGACAGCGTACTCTAATGAACAGCTTGAATCATCATGACACATGAACAGCAAACTATTCTAATAAACATGATGTAAATACTGTATACAATATGCAAGATTCACACACATTTATTTACAGATTTTAATTGTTTTTACCTCTGAGAGATGATTCAAATACATAGAACGTTTGGGTTAATTTTTTTTTATGTTGCTTCAATCTATGTTTGATTTAGTAAGTAAAAAATTTCAAGTCTGTATAACTGCAACTGAAAAGTCATGTAAATCCTGGTGTCCATGCAGTACAGACTGTGTCAAACATTTGTGATGTGCTACCAGGTTACAGTGTTGCAGTCTGATCACAGGTGGGAGAGTAGACTAAGGAAATGCCTCCTAATGCCTGCAGCAGGCTGATGACATCATCTCAGCCTAGGCAATGTCACTGAACTGGAGCTCAGTGAAATGTTTTAATGATAAAAAATGGAAAAATGGGCTGAAAAATTATACTGCCCCCTCATTGTATTTTGACATGTCCGGAATTTATTCATGCAGAATTTTAACATTTCTAAAAGGTTAAGACAGCTCACATGTACAGTATATACAGTATTTCATCTGTGTATTGTTTTCACTTCTTTGTCTTCTTCTAGTTGTTTATATAATTTCAGAGAAGATGAAGAAAATTCAATGAGAAAGCTAATACAAAAATGCCGGGAAATCACAGGTAGGTTTTCTTTAGGCTGATGACTGACAATGATCGTGATGGTGGTGAGAATCACGACCACATTTCCCCTACTGCAAAACAAAAAAAAGTATTTAAATCCTAACACCAGCCAAAATGTTTTATTTGTTTTGGATAGAGGGGTTGGATCCTCTGTCAGGTTTTTATTTCCACAAAGATAAGAATCAATGGGAGAGCCAACTCACTAGTCAGTATTGTGTAGAATGGTCTTTCTTAGATGTAGCAGGCAACAAAGGAAAGCCAATGTGTGTTTCAGGGGCTGCAAGTCCCCCTTCATCAGGGCTGCTGGTAGTTCTGCAGGTTTTCTGCCAGTTTTTTTGAGGAACAGCAATTCCCCACAATAATAGCACTCAAAGCAGTCCAGACTTTATAACTAACACCCACGTTTGGGGTCAATTTTCTTTTTTCCAAGTGGGAGCCCAGGACACTTTTCCATATGATTACATATGCAAGTGGGTAGTGACATTCAGATTCCTTGGTGTTAGAGTATAATAAAGGCATCATACCCACCCCTGGTGTCCAAACACTGGTGCTTGAAAGGAATCATGGAGAGGGGTAAAGATGTGTCTGAGAGCGGTTTAGCCAACACTTTTGAGCTGTAGGCAGGGAAACAATTCTGAAGGATGGGAAGAATCTGGTCCCCTGCACAGTAGATCCCCTCCATAGTGATCCCGTGCTTTACAGCTCTCTAAATGTCCTTCACCTTGGTCCTGTTTTTTTAGGTGGCTCCTACCTCTTATAGGGACCCATGGAGCCTAGTTTTGCATTCATGTTCCTGGGGGTCAATATGAATGAGTCTCATGCATCCACAAAAACAGACCTGGTGGCAAGCACACTCCTCTCTCCTCTGCTCCTGCACTGTTCCCTTTGCATGTGAAGCACTTAGAGCTTATGTTCAACCGACCTAGAAGTTCAGTGAAGCTCGAATGCTCAACCTGGAGCCAGTTATGGTGAGAAGACAGGAACTGTTTGTGCCCACGTTTTAAAAGAACTCTGTAATGGGGAAGCTTTAAGAGGTTACTTAGAATGCATACATAAACACAATTGAGAATTTAGTATTATTATTATTATACAGGATTTATATAGCGTTAACAGTTTACGCAGCATTTTACAACATAAATTTAATACTACTTTTATTCCATCAGTTGATGCCCCCTATTCTCTAACCACATCATGGGCCCGTAGTAATGTACTGACTATGTTGACAGCTATTTTGCAACCTGTCCCTGATTTAAGCAAAATTGCACAACCCCAACGCACGCATTCCTGCATCAAAGAGTGACTATGCATCTAGGTGGGTGCTGCAGTGACCATCGGCTGGAACCGAGAAGCATCACAAGGGAAGAATGCCATCAGCACATCAAGGTTCTCTAATATGGGTCCGAAGCTTTAATAAGTTATCACATAGTTACAGCAAGAGCAAGGTTTCGGAGTGTCGCAGGACCCCTTCATCAGGCATGTGACCGTCACATGCCTGATGAAGGGGTCCTGCAAGACTGAAACCTTGCTCTTGCTGTAACTATGTGATGGCTTACTAAAGCTTCCGACCCATATTAGAGAACCTTGGTGTGCTGATGACATTCTTGCCCGTCCCTGATTTAGACATACTTAAATTGTAAGTTCACCTTTACAAAAAACCTGGAAGGTGACCTAACACTGGACACCCTCTCCATCTCCCCAGTCCTGCTGTACTTCAGGCCCATGATCCTGTACTGTCAGGCTCCAGCACGCCACTACACCAGTACAGGGATTTGAAATCCCCGCTGCTTCCTCTACTCTCCTCTCCTTGTACTGCTGACAGGATGGGTTAGATGGATTCTGATTGGTTAGCGCTGTCCATGTAACAGTGCTGACCAATTAGAATCCCTCTGGTCTATACTGGTTGAGCAGTACAGAGATTGTCATGGTGATTTCAAATCTCCAGACTGGTGAAGTGCAGGATTGCAGGACTGAAGTACAGCGGGACTGGAAGGATGGAGAGGGGGTCCATTGTTAGGTCACCCTCCAGATTTTCTGTAAAGGTGAACTAACACTTTATTGTTAAGATCAATGACAGTAGAGAGATCACTTCTGGGTCCCATTAAAATTTTGCTATGAGGCCCTTTGATTCGTAGGTAATCCCCTGCAAAGGAGACACCTGTCCTGCTGAGAAGTAAGAGAGAAATTCTCCTAATTTTGTAGGAATTTCCTCTTACTTATGGTTGCATTTCTGGAGCAGGAAGTTAACATCTCCTCAATAGAACAAAAAGTAATCTGACAGGGGTTTTATCTCTTCTCTACACTATAAAAAAGAAAAAAAGTTTTTGCCATACACACTTTTTAATTGTTTTGATTAACAGGAATCACTCCTATC